TCAATGATGTTGGCGTATGGACACTATTTAGTCTTGAGATAAAACGCAGTGTATTCCAATAGGAATTCGGGAGAATCCCTGGAGAGCTCAGTGCAAAACTTTTCCTTTCAGTTTGAACAATAGTTCCGGGCACTCTCATTTTCGTCAGCTGCAGATCCTTCCTTGCTAAATACTGAGAGAAGCAGAAACAAGCGATAGCCACTATACGCCTAGAGTGCGCTACGTATCAACGTAGAGTGCGCTACGCGACTTTGAGAGGAAACGTCAACCAAACCGTTTGTTTACATCAGAATAACTATTTTTCACAACGCAAATTAAAGCATTTTTCATTCAACATCTTGCCAATTTCTATCGGTAATTGTCTTATTGTACGGTTTTCCACAGATCTGAACTGATTTGTACCTTAACTATCCACACACAAGACATCCGGAAGATCATAACCACTAAGGCACTTTTCTAATTTTCAATTTTTCGCAACAAAAATATTCCTGTACACCAGCAGGATCTTTGCAAAAACGTTACAGAATTAAATTTTTCAACTGTAGATTAAGTTTTGGAGCATCTCAGATGAATCAATTAATCAGGAAAAGTAAGAAAGTGTTCCGCTTCCTATGCCTCAAGGCAAAAATTTCTGCTCACAACACTCTTTTTGACGTCCTCCTATTCACCAACAGAGGTTGAATCGAGGTTCCCATTAAAAAGGTCTATATTAAAATAGCTAAAAAAAAATCTGAAAATAGATCCACCCGATCCATGAAGTTACTGTTGAAAAATATGTCTATCGGCTTCAGCCCACCTATGATGACAAATCTCAACACAAAAATCAGATTGCTATGTGTATTTGATGTTGATTAACGTGAGTTACTCAGAGGTACTCGAAATTAACTCTGATTTTACTCATGATCAAAAGCTGTCTTGCCCCTTGAAGACAGCTGAAGGATACGGGTGCCACGCTCACGGAGCTCGACATGGTGACTGTTTATTTCGTTGCCGCCTAGTACGACGTGGTTACCACGGCGATGGAAAATTTGGACGATCAACAACTCAAGCTTGAAACCGTCAAAGCACGCCTTCTAGCGGAGGAACAAAAGCGTTCTGGAAGACAATCCGGTTAGAGTGCTATGAACGGTATGGACGGAGTGGTGTTGGCAGCCAGGAACAGGAATCAACGTGGAAAACCTGTGGAATGCCCCGGAAAATGCCACTACTGTGGAGATTCGATCGGGCTCAAGTAGCGAAGATACCAATGGACAAGGAGGTGGCCTTAGTTTCCGGAACAATTGAGGCACAGGCGCAGGATGAAATCGAATGGATTCTGGACTCGGGCGCTAGCTGTCACATGGTAAGCAGTGAGGATTATTTTCACGACATCCGTAAGTTAGACGAGCCATTGCACATCGATAGTGCGAAGGATGGTGAGGTATTGGTAGCCACCAAGGAAGGTACCGTGAAGGGTAAGCTGTGCGTCGGAAAGAACCGGTACAAGTTGTCATTCGGACACGTGTTTTTCGTCAAAACGCTGAAATACAATCTGCTATCGTTGGCAAGGCTGCTGAAGGCTGGCGTGCACATCGAATTCATGTCAGATCTTGCAATCTTTTCGAAAGATAATGAAACTATTGGCGTTGCGAAGTTGAAGGGCAATCTGTTCTATTTGCGGATGGAAAGCGCACTCCGTGGATCGGCGTTAGCAGCGAGTGAGTATTCGAAGCTTCAACTTTGGCACAAGCGGTATGGACACCTCAGTTTCAAAAATGTGCTGAAACTTAAGAATTCCATGATGGTGTGGAACAACAAGAGGCCTTCAACGATGATGCTCGTGATTCTGGTGACTATTCTACAGCTGACGAGGAAAGCGCATAGGCACTCCCACCACAATTAGAAAGGAAAGAACGCAGTGCTAGTGTTCCGAGGTCAAATGGTCGGGAGTGCAAAAGACCAGGTTGGTTTTCTGATTTTATTCCATACAGAGCTCTTTCTGCTGGTGTGAATTCCCAACAGGTTCCGGAATGCTACACCGAAGTCAACGGTCATCCTAACGAGCGTAAGTGGAGGCAAGCAATCCAAGATGAGCTGTGGGCACTGCAGAAGAATGAAACCTGGATCGTGGTGAAATGTCCCAAGGAGGTACATCCCGTACCGTGCAAGTGGGTATTCAATCTAAACACGAATGCTGACGGACATCAATTGCGCTACAAGGCAAGGTTGGTAGCTAAGACTACGCACAACAAAGACACGTGGATTACGAAGAAACCTTCGCACCGGTGGCACGGTTGACTACCATCAGAATCCTATTGGCACTCGCAACGACGAATGATATGGAGATTCACCAGCTAGATGTCAAGACCGCTTTTCTAAATTGAAAGCTCGACGAGAAGGTTTACATGCAATGTCCAGAGGGGCTAAGGCTACGCCCTGACGAGGTGTGCGGTCACTTTATGGTCTGAAGTAGTCACCAAGGTGCTGGAACAGTCATTTCAACGATTACCTAGCTACCTTGGGTTTCACGCGGTCATAGAATGACTACTGTTTGTATGTCCTCGCCCAAGGAGATGGCACTATCTACATCGTTGTATACGTAGACGGTCTTCTCATTGCTGCTAAAACGGAGGCGGCCATCAAGAATGTAAAACACAACCTGATGAAGACATTCAAGATGACGGACATGAAGAAGATCCACTATTTCCTTTGAATCAAAATAGACAGGGATTTGGATCGTGGATTGATGAAGCTATCCCAGATGGGTCAGATAGAGAGGGTGATTGCTCGTTTTGGAATGGAGAACTGCAATCCTGCTAAAACGCCAGCTGAACTGAAGCTGTAGTTGTGGCGAGCAACTAGAAGATGTGAGTTTTCCTACCGTGAACTCATCGGAAGCCTCATGTACACCTCATGATGGGCACCCGACCGGACTTGTGCTTTATCATTGGATACTTGGCAAGAAAAGAGATAGGATTAGTCTACAGAAAGAAGCCAAAGGCACCACCAGTAGCCGCCTACGTAGACGCCGATTTTGCCAGTGACAAATGTGTTTCCGGGTTTTTGTTGAAGATGCATGGAAATATTGTCGCCTGGTCCTCGAAGAAGCAGACTACAGTTGCAATGTCTTCAACAGAAGCCGAGTATGTTGCCATGAATTCTTGCGTAAGTGAGACCGGATTGATGACTGATCTTCAAGTGACAACGCCGCTGTTTCCGGTACCGATGAAAAATGATGACAACCAAGGAGCGATTGCGATGGCTCAACGAGAGGAAACCAAGCGAGTCAAACACATGGATGTAAAGTTTCACTTCGTCCGTGATACAGTTGCTAATGGTAAGGTAAAATTAATTTACATTCCCACCCAGAAGCAACAGGCTGATTTCCTAACAAAGTCTCTACCCGCACCGATATTTGCCGCTGTAAGGAATAATATAGGTTTAGAAGTTAAATAACTGAGAGGGGGTGTTGAGATCTATTTTTTTTCCTCTGTTCGGGACCTAACACTACTACGACCAGTAAATTGATCTATTGTAGTTTAACCCGTGTCCTTAGTTTAGTGCATGTCGTATTACTCCATCACTATTGAGAAATGATGAAGTATTCGATTTGTTTACAGTTGCCCCTCTTGCATTTATCGCAAGGAACCGACTCTAATTGAAAGCTCCCGCTATTTATACCCTTCGGAGTGTTTAAACACCCTCCAAAGGCGCGCCCCTTTGTCAGTCAAAATTGGATTCCTTAGCAACAAAATTAAGGTATGACACCGATAATGACCATGCATCAGAACCCTAGTCTTAACCACTTCAAACTAGGGAACAACGAAGAGAAGATTAGGAATCACATAGATGAAGACAACTAACTCATTTTTTGCTTTATTTCAAGATCATCCTCGGTAGACAAAGCCGAGTCTTGTCACTATCAACAAGGCATAAAAAGTAACAAGGACTAATATGTGTTCCTTGGATTACTGAAAAATCCTGTTCCCCTAGTTTGAAGTAGTCAGGACTAGGAATCGGTGGTAGATCTTAAATCCCGTAACGTACCACGAAAAGGTGATCTACACACGTTACGGGGTGTTGAGATCTAAGCAAGCAGTTGATTTTAACACTGTACATAAGTATGAGGAACTGGTTGCTAAGCATAAGTAAATAACAAATACATATCAACCAGCAGCTATAAAACTAGACATGTAGCATAAGAAAATTAAGTCAGTAATAAATTACCGCCCGTACGGTAAAAATCGTGTTTCTCTATATATTTTTAATATAGTTATTGGTAATTCTATGTCCAGACTACAGAGTTATAAGCCTATCATTTTTCTTGTTGATAATTATTATAACACCCTTATAACTCTGTAGTATGAACAGGGCATAACACACAAAATCTTGTTCACGGACAACGATTTTGGAAAATAGTCGCAAATTCAAGTCTCGTTTCAAAATATTTTCTTTTCCAGGACAACTTGTACGGAAAGTAACTCGGATCACCAACAACGTCAACCAGTATGGGTAAATTATGCTATGCTCATACTGTAGAGTTTACCGACAAAAAAATGTCATCAAGATAGCCTTACAACTGCTCAGTCTGAGCCTAACATTCCATGCGAAAATTGCAAAAAGTACAAATTGAGGATCGGATGTATGTACAATTTTATTCACAGCAATCGCATAAGCCAATATAGGTTCGAGTTATCATACATTCGAAATATAATATAGTGAAACGTTTGCCGTTAAAATATTGTACAACTTAAAGTCTACTTCGCGGTCTCTTTCGCTTATTGGTAAGAATATCCGAAAATCCTAGTTATGGAAGTCTTCGTCGTCATCAGCCTTATCGCAAGCCGGATTGAGTATTCGTTCCAACATCGTGTCTCGTGGATTTGAGGGATTCGAGCGGGGGAAAATGGGCGGAAAATAATTAAACACTAGATTTCTGAGTTGTTTTCGTCTTTTTTTTCTTGTTTTCTCTGATCTCTTTTGCTACACTTAAAACTTTACTTCGTACTTTTTGTTCTTTCTTTTCGCTGCATCACTTCGATCTTGTTAAATTTGTAGATTTACACGTTTAAAGCGTTTTGTGCATTTTGATTGCGAACACAACAGGCGAATCGCTTAAGGGAAGATGATACGTTACAATAGTTCATATAACTAGAGAGAGAGAGATAATAGGAACTACGGGAAGTTTTCGAGGGCATCGTGTGGGACGGGAGAGAGGAAAGGGAGCAGGTGAGGAAGAACAAAGTAGGAAATGTGCATCTTTGATGGAAGGGAAGAAAACGCATTAAAAGCAGGATGTTGCAGAGGTGTTTACAGAACCTTCTTGATTTCATCGTACAGCACAAGTACGAAGGCACCGCCAGTACCACGGAGGACGTTGGAGAAGGCACCCTTGAAGAAGGCACCGGTACCCTCCTGCTTGGCGATGGTTCCCCAGCAATGCAGTGTGCTCTTGTAGATGATCTCGGACTTGGCACGGCCAGACTGCATCATCATACGACGACGGACGGTGTCGAAGGGATAGGACACGATACCGGCGACGGTGGTGACAACCTGTCGAGGGGGAGAACAAAGATTTCATACGTTAGTCGTTCAGCTCAGGACGTTGTGCGTGTGAGGGATACTAACCTGAGCGATGGCCCAGCTGACGTACCACGGGGTGGTCTTTGGGTTTGGCAGCATACCGCGAGCAGTATCGTAGAAGCCGAAGTAGGATGCACGGTAGATGACGATACCCTGGACGGATACGCCGAAACCACGGTACAGACCAACCAGGCCATCAGACTTGAAGATCTTGCTCAGACAATCGCCGAGACCCTTGAACTCACGCTGGCCACCACCACCGACATCAGCGGCCAGACTGTAAAGGTTAAACCGAAAGCGTTAGTGAATTTTCTACTTTAGCAATTGGAGACCGTGGAACTTACCGGGTACGGGCGAAATCAAGCGGGTAGACGAAGCACAGGGAGGTGGCTCCAGCGGCACCACCGGAAGCCAGGTTACCGACGAAGTAACGCATGAACTGGGTGTTCTTGTCGACACCGCCCAGGAAGATCTGCTTGTACTTGTCCTTGAAGGCAAAGTTCAGAGCCTGGGTTGGGAAGTAACGGATGACGTTGGCCATGTTACCACGCCAGTAGGCACCGAAGCCCTGCTCCTTGGGAATGCGCACGAAACAGTCCACCATGCCCTTGTACCGGTCGGCTTCGGCGATCTGCTTGGAGATGTGCTGGACCTGGAGCAGCAGCTTGACACGCTCGATGGGGGCCACGGCGGTCTTGGAGATGGCCGCCGAGATACCGCCGGCGGCGAAATCCTTCATGAAGGCAACTGGATCGGCCAGAGACATGGTTGTTGGTGGTTAGGGGCTGTAAACGTTTAAAGAAAGAAGGGGATCGTAGTTAGCGGGGTGTTCTGTTTTTTTTTTCAGAGGCCTGAGACATGAGTCTGAGAGAATTTTTAATATTTAATACATCTAAAACATCGCCGGTTGAGCTACGTTTAATTGGGTTGCGTTTGAGATGGGTAACTGCTAGTTGAGCTACAGTATAATGACGAATAAGACCAACATGTGTTGATGACTTGAAATTGTAATTCAAGCTATTTAGTTGATATTTTATATTATTTACTTAATCAGGGTGTCGAATACCTGTAAAAAACCTGGAAAATCAGGGAATATCAGGGAATTCTTTTTAGACCTGGAAAATCAGGAAAATATGTCTTAATCACAGACATTTATTAATGAGTATGACTAAAGGGTGTCCCACATCAAATTTCATCACGGAAAAAACGCCTGTAGCAAATTACACATTGGGTATTTTCTCTTCAAAATTTGGGTAGTAGTAGTTTAGAGTGTATTGTTTACACTGTATTTTTATCGCTGTCAGTTTTTCGAAAGTTGGAAAACAAGGCGTCAGTCGAAACGCAACGTCGCGAATGGATTTTGCGCAAGCTCCTGGAAAATCCTCAACTCTGTCATCGGGACATCGGAAAACAATTCGGAATCGTGCAGTCAACGGTGAGTCGTGTGATTAAACGTTACTACGAAACTCTGAGCATCGAACGGAAGGAGAAACGCGGTCATAATGGATGTTCTATTAGTGATCAGGACCACAAGCGTGTCGTGAAAGTGTTTAACCGGAATCCCAATGCTTCGGTCAGGGATGTGACCAAAAAGTTGAATCTGTCCAATGACCAGGAGGGACTGCATACGTACAAAGTGCAGAAGGCTCCAAATCGTGACGATCGGCGAAATACGGTGGGAAAGTCACGGTCCCGGAAACTGTACACCCAGATGCTGACGAAGCCTCATTGTCTCATCATGGATGATGAGGCTTACGTTAAGGCAGACTTCCGGCAGCTTCCGGGGCTACTGTTCTTCACCGCCCAATACAAGTTTGATGTTCCGCAGGAAGTAAGGGAGCAGAAACTTTCAAAGTTTGCCAAGAAATACATGATTTGGCAAGCGATCTGCTCATGTGGCAAACGGAGTGCGCCGTTCGTGACTACCGGGACTGTAAACGGGGATATCTACCTCAAGGAGTGTCTACAGAAGCGTCTGCTTCCTCTATTGAAGCAACACGAGGGCGCTAAGATCTTCTGGCCGGATCTAGCTTCGTGCCACGGGCCGAGATTCTATCCGCCAGACTATGACTATAGCGACTATAATGCGGCCCGGTTACAACCAGCCTGAGCTGTTAAGAAAGGCTCACATCAATCGAGCAGTTTAAATAGACGTTTCCTACCAGTCGTTCATAACCATGGAGCAATACTTTGAGATTTCATTTTGCAGAACCGCAACAATACACTGTTTCATTTATGTTCACTCCATAAAAATCTACTATTTGTATCCTAAGTTTCTTAAAGACTCTTGCCTCAAAACTGCTCGACTATATGATTAATTTTACGTTTTTATTGGCGCTACCGCTTCACTTCTTTCCAAACTGAGTTTAGGCCGTTTGAGCTGTAAGAGTTTGACAAAATAATGAAAACAAATGCCAACTTGATTAAAACTCTTTGTGACAGTATATTAGCACTGAAGCACTGTTATGGGCACGGGAAGCAGAAGCAATACGTCGGTGAAAATGTGTAGCTGCATCGGCATCCTACTATTATGTTTTCCTTTATTTAACGTCGGTCTCTGTTCCGCAATCTAGTGCCAATCACCGACGGACATCGATTGCCATCCATTGACGGCAATCGAATGTGCAGGAAGGCAGCTTCCACACCTGCGTAGGATATCGCACCCATTCAACACACATGGGCCGGGACCAACGGCTTTACTTCCCTTCCGAAGGAAGACGTGACCAGAGATTTTTATGCCTCAGAAAAATCCCACCGACCTCGGCTGGGATTGAACCCAGACTCATCGGGGTGTTAGAAAGCAGTCACGCTTAGCACTACACCACCGGCGCCGGCTATCCTACTATTATAATTATTGCAATTTTATTGCAAGTCCTTCGACTCCGTAGAGTTTGTAAAAGTCAATTGAGCCTTGTTAAATCAATGATTGGAACAGGGCATAACTTTTTTTTTAGAATTTGTCAAATCTTTGTGTTTATCACAGAAACTACACTCAAAAAATTCCACACGTCATCATCATGTGTCTTACACTTAATTTTGCGCATATTGTGAAACACATCTATTTCATGTGTGAATCGTATGCTATGAACCATGCCTGAACACTATGGATTTGAATTGTGACACACTTGGATTCTATGTGCCTCATATGGTGCTATCAATAGCTTTGCACATCATAGTTCAATATTCTACTTTATCGAATTCTACTTTACCGACTCTAAAAATGAATCGACAAATATATAAACAAAACTGCCAGAGGCCAGAGCTTTCACATATATTTTTAATGGGTCTGATTTGGGATTCGATCATGGACTGTTGAGGTATGCTGCTGCCGGAGTCTTCGTTCGATCTCACTGTGCCACGGTTGTTCTCATATATGAGGCAGGTTGATAGGATAAAGTCACAACTCTTGTTATCGATGTTTACCTTTCTGAGCAAGCAATTCACATCGTATTGAAATGCAAAACACTTTAAATCCATCTGTTTTGAACAGTAGCGTGATTCAATGTGCAATACACTTGAATAGATAGTGAAAGATTTTCAACATTTCAAAGTTTGAAACACTATAAATTAACGTGTATAACGAACATCGAACCAAGGTGAAATACACTTAAAGTAAATGTGATTGTGCATTTAGAAAATCAAGTGTTTAAACACTTCGATCAAACGTGTGAATTTTTTTGAGTGTACCAAAGCATATCATAATTTGCAAGCAACTTACAATCCTGTGGTGGAATCGAGGGGTCCAACAGCACTAATCAGGACAATTTTTCATCAACAACAAATTTGAAAAAATGGAGCATGTGCATTATTGATCTGCTAATATGAAAAGGCTGCTGCAATCTATTCTAGCTGCACAATGCATTAGGTCATAAGTAACATTGATCGATTCTCTCTTTCGTTAATAATTCATCCAAAATAGCTGAGCTTGTCTTAACATGGTTGCGAGGATGCAAAGAGGAAGTCGACTATAAGAATATGTCAATGTTACTGAGGACCTAATGCATTGCTCAGCTTGTATTAGCCTCAGGCAAACAACTTGTCGAATAGGTACTTAATCATCTTCCGTTACGCAACGCTTGTTTTGCATTTAGCACTTTGATTGTTATGCAACTTTTTCGTTGTATAATTGTCCCTTCTCGCGATGGGTCGCTTTTCTAACCGTAACGTTTGATTACTCAACTGTCAATCTTCTGATTAATTATGCAATTTGAAAACTTCATCCCGTTTGCAGTCGACTTTCTTCTACTGCACTTGAACTCATCAAGACACTCGTCAATGCGGAGCAATGATGCTTTGCATCCCTTTAGCATGAGTAGACGCTTTTCCGTTATTTTCACTGCACTTCAATCAAACACATTACGCAACCACTACAATCTCCCGTTCACTCCGAAAACGCATTTCCCTGCAAAACTTCACTAATCCTAACCATTCCGGATCACATCAACACTTTGTCTCTCTTACCTTTCGGGAATCAAACAATGAAAGTTCGCAGTTGGAGTTGCGAAAGGAAGTTAAGCTCACTGCTGGTTCGTCCTGTTTCGAGTGCTTGGTCTTGCTTTGAAGACCGCGAGACAGCAAGTAACCATTAATTGCAGATCGATCGAACAGGGTAGCTTTCCTTCGCGGTGAGGATGCCCGATCACTCTCGACCTTCGCCTCGTTTCTGTCGGTTTTCGGGAAAATGTCGTTTCCCGAATGCGCCGAAGCCGTGAGAAAGAAGCTGTGATCGTGACACTGCACTGCACTGCACAACAGCTGGCAAGTGTGCATCTCGTGCAGATGATCATATGGCGACGCCGCCGTGAGTGACGTCCGTCTCGTTGGCAACGGCCGGGGTTTGTTTTGGAGTGTATCAGCGGTGAAAGTGAACCGAACCCTATCCCTGACCTTGCGATGATCGCGTATTCGATCTTCGAACTTCTCTTTCGCCAAGCGGGTAAAGTTGCAGGGGGGAAATTCAGTGGGAAACCAGTCATTCTGCACTGATAACCAGTCGAATCCCATTAGAATAATTTTCCAATTCAATAAAACTACGATTAGGGCACACGTATAGCGTACTCACAGTACCGCTAGGGCTGAATTCCACACTCATTCGCAAACAACGGCGAACATAGTGCATGCCGCTGACATTAACCTGGAAAACTCGTTTTTGCACTATTTTTAAGTCGCCGCGCCGTTTCAAGTACATGCATATAGAACTTGACACGCGCTATTTGCCTTGCACTTCTAACATAGTAGAGGAACTTCTGCATGCCTAGAGGTAGGTAGGGGGAAGTGGGGCGGTTTGGCCACCTTTAGACAATCATCACCGATGATACCAAATTTAGTGAAAAATTCGATGAGTTTTAACCAAATTGATAATGTCAAGCCCTATTTTGTACACCATGAATACATATTGAATTATTAAAAGTAAACTTTCGAATCTTATGAAAGAAGATTAAAGAAATGTTCGTTTTGTAACCGCCCTGGTGACCAAACTGTAAGAATTTTCTGTTTTCATTAGGATTTAAGAAGGGTCAATAATGAATAGTTTTAGCATGAAAAAATTTAACAGAAACAAATATTTTCTGTAGAATAAATAATCTTTAAAAAGTACTGCCTATAATTAACATAATTAAGGCTATATTTTTGTCAGTCTTGTGAATGACCAAATTTACCAAAGCAATTGCTTTAAAACATGATTTCATATGATACAGCCCTATTTATAAAAGGAATATTGCAAAAATGAAGTATTTAAGTAGAAAATGTTTGAAATATCAGTGGTGCTCACATTGCCCAGAATGGACTAGAAAAAAAAAACAGCGTGTCCTTTTAGAAACCAGTGACCATTCATATAGCTGCTGGAAGTTATAATAAACTACTGATAGCAATCTTATAACATTTTTGACATTTTGAGCTAGTCTATTTTTTTCGATTATTCGCACTAGAGGAAAGAAAAATTTTAGACTAAAATGAAATGGATAGTTCAAGAAGGCTTCAAGCATTAAGCCTGCAACAGATTTTTAGCTAAATATGTTTATTAAGTTAAGCGGGAAAATTGCTCCAATGGCGAAATTGCCCCACGTTCCCCTATAGATATATGCAACAGCATGTGCCGCGATCAACCTCTTGGGCAATTGGCATGCATGTTCAGCGCAATTGTGCATCGTAAGTCGAACGCGATGGGCCAAGGAAGCGGTGGTGGGTGAATAAATTTAGATAACCGATCGATCGACTGTCGATTTACACTATCTCTGTTGCTATTTTCGCACCACTACGGGAAGTAGGATCGATATGAGATATAAGTACCTAGTGACCAAGCGCGGTGGCGGCGTGTGCTGAGAGCTCGTCCTGCTGCTGGCGCGAGGTCATTTCCCCACGAACGAAAATTCCGATGATTGCATGATATGCGCTATTTCCGAACTCGGGGTGGCGTTGCGAGGTTTGGGGGGATTTTACTGAAGTAAACTAGGTTCGATGACAACGGTATGACAATGAATGCTGCATAAAAGCAGAATGTTAACCTGTTTATTTGGTTCCGCTTCGATGCGTAATAACGTGGATTTTTTGACCATGGGTTTGGTTCGAAGTTCATAACATCAACCCAAGCTAATCTTTGAGTGCTCATAAAAATTTTCATATTTCTTGGTTCGTCTGAATCATGTTCAACGAATTTTTGCGTCAAATAGTAGAACCAGTCCTAGTACGGCGATGGAAATTCCAGAGGCTTTCAAGGATATTTAAGAACACCCTTGAAGTAGACACAATAAGCCGGTCCTTGATTGTTAATTAATATCATCCGTAGAAAACCTATTTAGGCCTCCCTGAACCAGTCAGCAAAAGCGAAGCTACAAAGCAAGAACATATTGAAGACGGCAGGACCGATTCCCGGCCCGGTTGAGGATTTGTTTGGGATGGAAATTTTTCCTTTCCTGAGCATTAAACTATTATGAAAGAGAAAGTGTTCAAAGAATACCTAAGAAGCCAACGGTAAATGAATATACGCGTATTTCCAGGAACAGTAGAACTTTAATAGACCACGTTTATTCAAATTTTGATTCCATTTGTTCAGTTACGGATACTGATTTGAAAATAACCGATCATGAGACCTTAGTGATTAATGTCTTAGACCATGTTAACGATAACGATAAATTTGTAAAATTGAAGTGCTGGAGGAAATATTCGAAGCAAGCTGTTTCGAATCTTGTTGAGAGGAGCGTGGATTTTCCATTCGTGGCTGTTAACTTACATGAATCTACAGCTGTTCTTAATAACGCTTTGAAAACGTGTACCAATCAACTAGTTGTTTCTTTGACAAACTCGAACAGCTGGTACAATTTGGATCTTTTGCGTCTTAAACGGAAAAGGGACAAATGGTACCAAAATTTTTGTAGATCTAATAATGACAATCATTGGACTAGGTACACACACTTATCCAGTCAGTAATTTTTACCGAGTTTTTTAAAATTCAAAGATGCGAAAATGTGTTCCGAAAATTTACAGACTTACTTCTGTTAACCCCGTTTAATGATGAAAAACAAAATTTGTCGATTTTATCGAATCTTTACGAATAACCACAGACAAACAGACGTAACTCTTTGAAAAAGTTGTTCTTGAAAACATAGTATCTCAAAACATAGGACCTCAGTAACGACATCTCTCTGGCTTCTCGCGGAAAACAAGCTTGCTCGCTAACTCGCAAACAATATTGCATAAAAGTTCTATAGAATGTATAGAAACGTCAAAGTGATCCGATGCCAGCGCTGCGGCGAGTAGTTCGCGGAACTGATAATGTTCAAATCAACAGTTAAATGCGTGAACGAAGATACACAATGAAGAGCTACGTCTGTTTGTCTGTGGAATAACGGTCATTTGAATTTTAACCGAGTTTTTCAGTAATTCAAAAACCCAGCAAAAAAATACTGACTCCTGTAAAAAAATCTAAGTGTGCACAATCGCGCGTAATAAGTATTCACAATCGAGAAAGAAAACTCGTTGTGAATATGTTCAAAGGAATATTGATCAGCATCAAAACAGCAGCAAAGAGTTATAGAAAATTTTGAAATCTTTATTAAAACCTAGTAATTGCAAACCGCGGTCCATAACTTTTAATGGCACATTAGAACAGTCAGAACAAGTAATTGCATCTAAGTTTAATGATTATTTCGTAGACAGTGTTTCATTGATTAATCAATCTATTGAATTGGTCGATGAACCTGACGAAATAAAACAGCCAGTTAATAGTAGTTGTAGATTTGAAGTTTTTCACCCAATTACATTAGATGAACTTAGAGTTAATTGTTTTTCATTAGGAAAATCGGCTGGAGTAGATAATGTTAATGCTAGAGTTATTCAAGATTGCTTTCATGTCATTGGCCACATCTTTCTGGACCTTATTAATGAATCATTGCAGAATGGACATGTGCCACAAATTTGGAAGGAATCCTTAGTGATTCCTATTCAAAAAGTTGCTGGAACGATTAAAGCCGAAGAGTTCCGTCCCATCAACATGTTGCACACATTAGAGAAAATTTTAGAACTTGTTGTTAAAGGCCAGTTGTTGGAGTTTTTGAATACCAACTCTTTGTTGATACCAGAACAATCGGGATATCGGGAAGGTCATGCTTGCAACGCTGCGTTGAATTTGGTGTTAGCAAAATGGAAAGACAACTTGGAGCGTAAAGATACGATCGTTTCTGTTTTTTTGGGTCTGAAACGCGCTGTTGAAACAATTTCTAGGCCCTTACTGTTAAGTACAATCAAGCGCTTTGGAATTACGAGTACTGCATATAACTGGTTTGAAAGCTATTTGTCTGACAGAACTCAGCGGACTGTTTTTAATGATTCTGTTTCCAGTCCCGTGGGGAATAACCCTGGAGTGCCCCAGGGAAGTGTATCAGGGCCCCTTTTATTTATTATGTATATTAATGACTTGCGACGTGTTTTACGCTTTTGCGACATTAATCTTTTTGCAGATGATACTGTGTTATTCATTGCAGCTAAGGATTTAGAAGTTGCCGTCTCACACTTGAATGAAGATTTGCAGTATCTAAGTAGATGGTTGAAGTGTAAGCAGTTAAAATTGAATACAAGTAAAACTAAATTTATGGTAATTTCGCGGAATCGATTAAATAAGAACGTCTCTGTTGTAATTGATGATGAGACTATTTATCGCGTTCAGGAGATTAAATATCTTGGTGTGATTATTGATGACTAAATAAAAAAAAATTGATAAATATTGATAAATAAAAAAAAGTATATAAGTATCGTCAATAACAATGGTACTTAACCATGCACATTCATTAGCAAAATCACGTAAGTTATACGTGATACTCATGTGACGTTGAAGCTTGACGAAATGAGTGCATCTACATTAGAATCACGTAACTCTTACGTGAAAAGTACGATGGAAAAAATCTACGTATGTTTTCACGTAGCATTGACGTGAAGATTATTTTGAGTGTAGCTAATATGCAATAAGCAAAAAGCTTGAAATTCGACGAAAAGAAGAAAAAGCGTCGATGTTCCCAGTGGAAAACGCAAAATAACACCGATAAACCGACATGAACGACCATAGGAAAAACAATAAAAATTTTGACCAAAGCACACTACTGACATCTGGCT